ACATTAAGCGTTTTGCTGTATGGGAGGACAAGTGAAAGTTTGCGCATTGTGTTCATGGCCATCTATGCCACATTTTGCGGTATGGGAGGAAAATACTATATACATAATTATTATATTAATAAACTATATATTGAATTTGATATTTTAATAGCATCTTAATACATCAAGTCATATTAAGTGTTTATGTTTTTCTACGGGAGGAAAACGCTTAACGAGAGACTTTGTGCATTATGTTCATATTCTGCTGTTCTGTGGCCACGGATTTGCGGGTCTTGTCTTTTTCTTGCAGGACCATGTACGTTATTGTACTAAATTAGTTTTAATCATTAAATCACCACCACAGCTTCTTGTCTCCATTGGCAACACGCACGATTTGTGTCGATTACAAGTGACGTCGCAGGTAGCTGAGAGTGCAAGTGGCGACTGCAAGTGACATTGTAATTTAGTTTCTTTTTTTTTTCTTGTCTTCACCACCTGGCTACTGTAAAATGTTGAAAGATTCAAACAAAAAAATTAATAAATAAATAGAACAAAATAAAAATATAAAGACTGCAAGTGACGTCACTTGCGGAAGTGCAAGTGTCAGAGGGTGCAAGTCTGACAGTGCAAGTGCAAGTCTGCAGCCAGACCCTGTTGCAATATTAAGAGCTGAAATCTTAAAATATTAAACAAAATACTACACATTATTTTTCAATTTTTATCTCCATGCAATGAAATCTGAAAAAGATAGGAATCAAGTAGAGACCCAGAAAATTTAATAACCCTATTTTAGTATGTTTTGATAAGTACAGTTTTGTGCATAATTTTAAGTCTGTAAGCAACATTTATAATTATCTTAAATACGGAACTGCGACGAGATGGTTCTCACTGCAGAACACAAAATCCAGGGGGCGTGGTTGGATCCAGATCCAACTCCTCCCACCTTACATATACCTAAACCAGGGGTAGGCAAGTTCGGTCCTAGAGAGCCGCAGTCCTGCAGAGTTCAGCTCCAAACCTAATCAAACAGACCTGAACAAGCTAATCAATGTCTTCAGGATTACTAAGGCTATAGGCAGGTGAGTTTTGTTTTCAGGGTTGGAGCTGAACTCTGCAGGACTGCGGCTCTCTAGGACCAAACTTGCCTAACCCTGACCTAAACCTACGCTTCTCCAACCTTGATCCCTAAACCCAGCCATCTCCACCCCCTGATCCCTAAACCCACCCATCTCCCCCCCTAAACCTACCAACCTCCACCCCCGATCCCTAAACCAACCCATCCCCACCCCTAAAGCTACCAATCTCCCCCCCCTGATCCTTAAACCCACCCATCTCCACCCCTAAACCTAACAATCTCCACCCCCGATGCCTAAACCCACCAATCTCCACCCCAAGCCTACCAATCTCCACCCCCGATCCCTAAACCCACCCATCTACACCCTTAAACCTACCAATCTCCACCCCCGATCCCTAAACCCACCCATCTACACCCCTAAACCTACAAATCTCCACCCCCTAGATGTGGATCCAACCACGCCCCCTGGAGTGAGGGGCTACTGAAGGCTGCGACGGGACTTTTATTTTGAAACAACGACACTTTTTTCACGTTTCTTACTTCACGCTTGTGCTTTGCTGTCGGCTTTAGTGAGAGTTCCGGAATCTCAGGAATTTGGGCTGTTCGTCTCCTCAACCTCCTGCGCTAGCGAGCTCAAGATTTTCTGCGACTGAAAGGTAGATTGAATCCATTTACTCAAGTCATTTCTGTGGTCAGATCACAGGTCAGGTTTTATCTGATGCGTGACTTCTGCTTTTCTGAAGATTAGCGTGTCACTCGCTCGTAACCTCTGAATGAGCTCCGTTAACAGAGGTGTGTCACTAAAGAGAAATCAAACCCCACAATCCTACATCAACCAGCAACAACATTTACATTACAGATTTTCACTTTCCGCGCGATTATCTTAATCAAATATGTGTGTTTTCCCTCGCCAAAGTCGGTTTCTGTTTACGTACTGGGGGAACTTATAAAGCTATTAAACAATAACGTTACTATTGTTGTTCTGTTCGAATAAATCGCAAACTCATTATATCAGCATTAACCATTTCATTTTTTATACTGTACGACTGCAGATTGTTAATTTATTGAATTTGAGTCTCAAACAAGAATATATAACTTTTTCCCTATGTGTGTGTGTGTGTATATATATATATATATATATATATATATATATATATATATATATATCGGCTAAACACATGAGCGTATG